TTGCTCCTAGGCACATGAGTGATAACTTAGAATAAGCCCATAAAACGGGGATGCTTCTCGGTCGACATTTCTTGAGGGGTATAAATGATGTTCATCTCATTTTCAAAGTGAAGTATATGCTTATTCAGTCTGTCTTGGAGACGGCGTTATTGAATGTCTTCCGGATTGCTCCAGCATATGATGAGAATGGGGCCCCCGTGCTGATCGAGGAGGGGAAGCATGTGAACAAGTTGGTGCCCAAGTTCGATTTTCATTGGAATGATAGGCATTATAAGAAGGGGAATAATTTCTATGTCTGGAAGAAGGATCAACTCGATGCCGAGGACCAGGCCAACTTCGATCGCCTTTGTGCGTTTGTTGCGGGGTTCCCTCCTGTCCAGCATACGTGCAGAGGTGAGAAGCCGGATATCGATAAAGACGGGAATAAGGTTTATGATTTGGGTTTGATATGCATCAAGGATCTCCTCAAGAGCAAAGACCCTGCAACGTATCTTGGTAGTCTCTATTACGATCTGATTTTCTTGTATGCATGACATTGTCGTTTTTTATGAATGCTGATTGTTATTTGTTGTTTCTTCACAGATAAAACAAATCCCACTCAATAACTCCTATCGAAGATGATCGCTTCCAACCTGAAGAAGGCTCATAAAGGTTCCAAGTCTTCTCTACCCGACACGGGGATGGATCCCCAGTCAGGCTCGGGTTCTTTGTCAACGGGTCCAGTGGCCGGAACTTTCCCCTCTACATGTATCCTTGAGGCTTAAGAGGCAGCGCAACGAGGGCACTGTCGACCTGATCAGGGAGAACGAGAAGGAAAGATACGAGTTGCTTCCTTGTTGGCACAACAGGGCCTTCTTCGAAGGTTCTTCCTCGTATCTCCTTCGGGGAAAGTCCCTTTTGCTTGAGGAGTTGGATCTCCTGGCCAAGCGGGTTGCATTGTCTCAGGATACTGGGGCCGTTATAAGGGTCTTGGAGATGGTCGTTACGTACACTGAGGGAGGCTCCTCTTAAGAGCCGATATGAGAAAATTAAGGGCTAAACTGGCCGATACTGAGAAGGAGCGCATCGACAAGGGGGCTGCTCAAAATTTGGTAGAGGAGAGGCTGGAGAAACTGACAAAGGACCATAGGGCGCTGCTCCTCGAGAAAAGAACTTCTGACGAACAAGTGGAGACCTTGACTGCTGAAGTTGCTCCTGTTGAGGACGAACCGAAGGAAGCCTAGGGGTTGAGGACTCACACGGAATTCGTTCTGTTCCAACTGGCTTTGGACGATGTTATCACTACTTCTTAGGGGAGCTTTAATAATTTAGTGAAGCAGCTTCAGGTTCTGAACCCCGAGGTCGAGCTCAATGTGACTGGGATGGGACTCCATTATTATGTTGCTGATGACAAGATCGTGATCCATGAGTACCTCAGAGACGTCGGGGATGTGCCTGTAGAGGAGTTATCGCATCAAGAGCCCGCCATTGAGGAAGAGCCCTAGCCAGATATTTGACTGCTTCTTGTTATTCCTTTTTCTGTTCTAGCATGTGCACTGTATTAATGTAATTCGTTTTGTAGGCTTCGGCCCGTTTTGATTAAGTTTCGAACAACTATGGTCTTTAAGGCCACGTGATTACTTTGTCGGATATGAGCCTTGGACTCCCTTTTTGTAAAATTTGCACAACCACGACCCTATTAGTTGTATCTTAATTTTATGACCATGGTGGTCGTTTGCTTTAGTTCATGCATGATTGTGTTACTTTTATATTTGAAGTGTTTTGCATGTTCATTGTATGCTCGTCTGTTTGATACGTTTTTTACTGGATGAGTTTTCAACAGGGATTTGCTTGTTAGTATGTTCGCCAGTGTGGGGAAACTGGTCAAACGACCAGGGTGTATAATGGGCATGAGCCAGAACTCATGTCTCGTTTCGAGGACCCGAGCTCGGCGACATGAACTACCCATCGGGAGCTGGGTGTTCTGCCGGCGTGGTATGATGACGATGGAGCTCGATCGAGTTATCCATACCGAGCTAAGGATCCACTCGTCAAAAAGAGTAGAGTCTTGCCCCCTCATTTAAATTAGAGTGCCATGCTTGTACCTAGGCATGCACGTGTGGTCGGGCCTGGATGAGTTCGTCTTGTCAATGATGCTCGCTGATTGCTTAGTGTTTTAATTGAAATATTGTTTTAGCTTTTCAGCATTCCATGGTCGAGCAAGTTGTTCCCCATGTAGATTTTCTAAGTAGTACACCCCGATCCCTGTTTTTGCGTAGACGCAATATGGACCTTCCCAGTTTGCTGCGAGCTTGCCTTCACGAGATTCTTTGTGATTTCTCTTCAAGACAAGGTTGCCGACCTCGAACTCTCATCATATGACTCTGGTGCCGTAGCGCATGGCTATTTTTTGTTTGAGAGAGGCCTCTCATAGGGCCACTCCTATTCGGATTTCTTCGACCAGATCTAGTTCTTCCCGTAGGGCGACGTCGTTCATATCCTCGTTTAGGGGAGCTTCGGTTCGCCTGGAGGGTTCCTCAATCTCTACGGGGATGACGACCTCCATTCTGTAAGCTAGTCGGAAAGGAGTTTCCCCGATAGATGAGTGTGTTGTTGTCCGATAGCCCCAGAGTATGATGTGCAACTCCTCGACCCATATTTTCTTGGTTTCGTCTAACCTTCATTTGTGACCCCTGAGTATCACCCTATTTTCCGACTCGGCCTGACTGTTTGTCTGAGGATGCTCGACAGAGGCGAAGTGTTGGGTCATGCCCAACTTGGAAACGAATTCCTAAAAGGCTTGGTCTGTGAACTGGATTCCATTGTCGGTGACGATCGCTTGCGGCACGCCGAACCGAGCAAGGATGTTTCTTTTGTAGAAGCACAAGACATTTTGGGCGGTAATTTTTGCCAATGCTTTCGCCTCTATCCATTTGGTAAAGTAGTCGACAACCACTATCAAGTATTTGTTTTGATTTTTACCTACCACGAACGACCCAAGGAGATCTAACCCCCACCAGGCGAAGGGCTAGGGAGAAGAGAGAGACATGAGCTCGTTCGGGGGGCTACGTGTATGTCCCCATGCTGTTGGCACTTGTCGCATTTCCTTACATGCTCTTTTGCATCGTGCTGCATGATGGGGTAGTAATACTCCGCTCGTAGAGCTTTCCCGGTGAGGGATCTTCCTCCCAGGTGTTGCCCGTTTATCCCTTCATGAACTTTGAGCAGGATGCGATCCGTATCGCTCTGTTCAAGCATTTGAGGAGGGGAATGGAAAACCCTCTCCTGCATAATTTACCTTCGAATAGGTGTTGCGACTGGTTTTTAAATCAAGAGTCGCCACTATCAGTTTTTATCCTAGGGAAGGGAATCTAATAGGAAACCCTAATTCGCAGACAGAGAATCTAGGTTTCGGACTTCATTAGACAAAAGAAAGGTGTTAGGCACCTTTCATCTATCTTGTTCACAAGGATACTAGGTTTTAGGTTTAGGTTCGAGTAAAATAGGGTCTTAAATTTTAATTAGGGGAAAGGGTTTAAATATTTTTATAGGGGAAAGGGTTTAAATATTTTTATAGGGGAAAGGGTTTAAATATTTTTATAGGGGAACTCGCTATGATTTTTGATCGTATGCCTACGTATCCTCTTATGAGGAATCAGAGTCCCAATTCGTAGTTCGTAGTTTGGTTGGTGTTTTTTATAAGATTGCATGGAATTGCTTTTGAATTAGCCTTGAACTTTTTCTGGGTTATAAATTGAGTGATCGTAGACGTGGTTCACAGTTTGATTCGAAAGTAATGCTATGTAATCTTTTTTTCGAAACATCCTGTTTTTGATTATGTTAGTAGAAAAAATAGTTTGTAATTGGTTAGCTGTTTTGGTATTTGATTTGATTAAGATGTGGAGCGGAGGAGTTTGATATAGTCTCCTCCTCACGTGTTCTCATGACGTGGCTAGATATTAACCATGTGTTGCTCGATGTGAAGGATGCGGAGGAAGTCTGATATAGTCTTCCTCACCACGTGGCTAGATATTGACCACGTGTTACTTGCGAATGAAAATGATGCGGAGGAAGTCTGACATAGTCTTCCTCACCACGTGACAGATATTGGTCACGTGTCGCTCATTGGTGAATTTAACGAGTTGCGTGAATTTCAATTGTTTGATTTAGTATAATAAATCGGTAGATGATGTGTCGACCGATTTAATTACTCGGAGATAGACGTTTTATTATTTATAGGATATTTAAATTAATGTGAATTAGAAAATAGATTTAACTAAATAATCCAATAAAATATATTTTGTATTTTGAATAATTAATTGGTGAATATTAAATCTACCACCAATTACTCGAGGACGTGAAAGTCGATTACTAATAATATGTCGAAATTAATTAGTTTTTTGTATTTGTATAAATGTTTGAATTAATTAAAGAAAAATTTGGGCTATTATTGTTTTGTAGGGGTGTCAAATATCAATGGGCCTAGAACCCATCTAACATTCCAAAACTAATCTTAAACTTAAATGAAAAATTAAGTAAACAATATATGACTAATTTAACAGTAAAAAAAATAATTAAAATTGAGACATGCAGAGCCGCTAGTTTCTAGACTATCCTAATTTTCCTATAAAAAATGAAGGCTAATAATAGAGGAAACATGCAACTTCTAATGTTTCAATAAAACTAATAAAAAGAAATAATTGTGTTGATTTATTCATAATTAATCACACACTATGGCTAATAACATGGGAGCAAAGTATTACCTGATGAATATTAAATTCAAACAAAACAAGGGATAAATCAATACTTCCTTCCCTTTCTTCTTCCCTCTCAGACTTCCTTTTTCAACACAGCCCCATACTTGCTTCTCTCCATTATCCTACGATAAAACAACAATAATGGCCATGCCAAAAAATATATAATCACAGCGAACTTAACCTGTAGTTGAAGAAAAAAGTGGTCAACGAAGCTGAAGCGTAGAAGCGGCGGAGATTTGAGGTGTGAGTTCCGGCGATAGTGAATCATGAACGGAGGGAGTCGCGGATTTGTATGCTAGTGTTGTTTGTGGTATGTGCATCGTGATCCCGTTGGGGTCGGTGTTGTCGTTGTTTCGCCGATGGATGGAGAAAGTTCGCCGCGATTTGTGGCCGGCGACGGTAGATTAGGTGAGTGGGAGTGTGGCGAGGGTCTGTGCTTGTTGTTGGAGGTTGCTGCGATGTCGGAACAGGGACACTGATGGTAGTCGGTGGTGAGGTTCTGATTCTGTTTCTTTTCCCCGTCATTTTCTGCACAAAAAAAAGAGAAAGAGAGAAATTTTGTACAATTTGTATTAGTTGTGTGGTTTAAAGTGGAAGTTTGTAGAAGCTGTGTTGTGTAATTTTTGTGTAAGGTTTATTATGGCGTAGCTTGTTTATGGTTTTACATGGAGGGGGTTAATAATTTGGTGATGATAATGTTAAGGTTGTTACTGTAAACATTCTGTAAAAAATGTGAGACAAAAATGGGGTCTTTTGATATCATGAGTGAGAATTGGCTTAGTAAGTGTGTGAAGAATGATATGGTTTTTCTTGCAGGTTGGAGGTTTTTTGTGATAGGAATTGTGAGAATGTTTTTGTAAGTGTCAATGGAATTTTATCTGAAAAAATTTGTTACGCGTGTTATATAATAGATGAAAATTGTTACTAATAAGAAAAAATTAAAAATATAGTAACAAATAAATTTTAAAACAAGATAACCATCATAAATCTTTTAAAAAGAAAAGATAAAATTGAATCTAAAAGAGTGGGTGACCTCGTATGAAATCATTGGCCACCAAAATAAAGAAATTGTTGTTGTCTGATATAGACAACAACTCTAGAATAAACCAAGAAAACAATAACTATAAGAGTTTGAAAGAAATTATGTTTCAGCATGAAAAATTAGGACAACAATGAATCTTATTTATAGAGTAAAATTATGTTAAAAACTTGGAGAGAAAGCTAGCTCAAAGTGAATAAAAGGTCCAAATTAAAATTTATCTATTTATAACTTATTTTGACTATTTTTTTTTTTTTAAATAAAATAAATATTTTAATAAAAAATAATATTTTCAAAATATAATAAATAAATAAATACGAAAATAATAATTTAATAATAAAAAATATGATTTTTATGGTTTAGAAAATGAAAACAAAGTTAGTAACTGTGTTATGTTACTTATTCGAAAGTAAAAAGCCAATTGAAAGTATATGATAGCGAACAATTATTTTCTATTTTTACAAAAATACAAATGATTATTATATTTTCAAACAGACTTGAAAGTAAATTTTTATTAGAAAAACTCAGAATGTTAATATAATTAAATCAAAAGAATTTTATATATGTAACACCCAAATTCAAAAATAAGTTTGACGGTAGCACTAAGGCAGACAAATTTGGGGTATGACACTAGGACGTAGGAGCAGGCTCTTCGTCTGACCACGACCGCCTCCTTTGAGTCGGCGGGTAGCTCCCCTTTTGTGAGGTAGTTGTGTACAGGGGTCATCCAGCAGTTATTGTATCCTATGGTGAATACTTCGAAAGTCGATGGGGGGGGGGGGGGGGGGGGGGGTCTTTGGGTGCTCGGTCGAGGAAGGATTTCCTATATCACCAACTTATTCCCCCTTTTCCTCTTTGTGCTCGCTAGTTTGGAAAACATGTCTGCTCGGGCGTTATGTTCGCGGGGAACATGTTGCACGTCCACGAATTTGAATTTCTTCTTTCTTTCTTGGACCAGGGCTTAATACTCAGCGAGGTGATCGTTTTTCACCTAATATTCCCCTCAGACCCAGGATGCAATGAGTTGAGAGTCAGTGAATATCTTCACCTCCTCGGATCCTAGATCTTCGGCCAGGCATAACCCTGCTAAGAATCCTCATATTCGGTCTGGTTGTTGGAAGTTGGGAAGGATAACGCGAGGGAGACTTCGATTAGGATCTCCTCCTCATTCTCCAGGATGATGCCCGCTCCGCTTTCTGTTGAACTGGAGGCACCGTCGACGAAGATTATCCACCGGCGCGTCCCATCCGGGGGTGTGGGCGAAGTCATTTTGGCCACAAAGTCGACCATCGCTTGAGCTTTGAGGGATTTTTTGTCTTCATACTGGATGTCGAATTCAGAGAGTTCTAGTGACCATTTTAGCATCCTTCCCTCCATATCAGGCCTACCAAGTAGTTGCTTTATTGGTTGCTCTATCTGAACGACTACGGTATGTTCCAAGAAGTAGTGTCTGAGCCTTCTCGTTGCGTTGATGAGGGCTAGGGCCACTTTTTCGATTTTCTGGTATCTTACTTCAAGACCATGCAAGGCTTTGCTCGTAAAGTAGATAGGCTTCTGCCTCTCTGGGGTTTCTCGGATTAGTGAAACACTTATTGCTTCAAAGGTTACGACCAGATAGAGATAGAGGATCTCATCCTTCTTTGGTCTAGAAAGGACAGGTGGTTGCGACAGTGCTTGCTTTAGATGGGTGAGAGTTTGCTCACATTCGTCCGTCCATTCGAAGGCAACTACTTTGTGGAGAAGTTTGAAGACAGGGAGTGTGTGTTGGATGAATTTCTCTATGAAGCAGGAGAGTGAAGTGAGCATGCCGTTCAAGATTTGAATGGATTTTTTTGAAGTGGGCATTGGAAATTCAGAAAATGCTCGACATTTATCGGGGTTAGCCTTGATTCCTCGTTCCGTGAGGTAGAACCCGAGGAACTTGCCTGCCCGTATGCCAAAATTGCATTTTTCTGGGTTAAAGCGCATCCGAAATTTCCTGGCTTGCTCTAAGACTTTCTTCAGGTGGAGGGTGTGGTTGTCCTCTTTCGTCGACTTGACTATCATGTTGTCATGTAGACTTCTAGCATGTCGCCTATCTAATTGCGAAAAACTTTTTTCATCATGCGCTGCTATGTAGCGCCTGCGTTTTTCAGGCTGAAAGGCATTATGTTATAGTAATAGTTGCCCGATTTGCTCATAAAAGCGGTGTATTTTTTGTCTGCTTTTACCATTGGAATCTGGTTGTATCCAGAATATGCGTCCATGAAAGATGATAATTTGAAATCGACCGAGTTGTCGACCAATTTTTTGATATTGAGGAGGGGTAAGCATCTTTCAGGAAAGCCCGGTTGAGATCGATATAATCAATGCACACCTGCCACTTTCCAATAGATTTTTTCACGAGGACTACATTTGAGAGCCAGGTTGTGTAATGGAATTCAGAAATAAAATGAGCCTCTAGGAGATCTTTGACAGCCTGCTCAACAACATCTGTCTTTTCGGGAGACTGCTTCCGCCTACGCTGAGCAACTGGCTTAAGGACAAGATCTATGGTCAGATGGTGACATGCAATCTCTGGGTCCAGTCCGGGAATTTCAGCTGCGCTCTAGGCGAATAAATAAACATTCTCCCTCAAGAAAGCTTTAAGTTGCCTCTTCTCTAGGTCAGGGAGGTCGGCTCCGATCTTAACTCCTCTGGAAGGATCATTCCCGATGGGGATGGTTTCAAAGTCCCCGTCTGGAATAGTCCGTATGGGATTTAAAGGCTCTTCGCTGTGTGTAGTTAGGGATGAGTTCTACCCTTCGACCATGGGCTCCTTCCCCTTTCTCCTTCGCTCTGCGCAGTCTTCTGTGGAGAAGTGGTTGTCAAGGTCAATGGCGTCAACCCTTGGCAGTGGCTTGAGCTCCTCGGAGCTGGAGGGCAAGGAGAATCCGGTGGCCGTTCGGAGCTGAGCATTAATGGAACCCGGACCCTTGTCAGAAGCTTCAAAACACCTCCTTGCTGCCTGGACGTCCCCGTGGAGGGTGGAGACCAAGCCTTCGGCAGTGTAGTATTTCATCTTGAGGTGCACGGTGGAGGGCACCGTAATCAGTTTGGCTAGGGTGGGTCTCCCGAAGATACATTGATAGAGAGACGGGCAGTCCACTACTAAAAACTGAGTCTTGATTCTTCTGGAGGTCACTCCTTTCTTGAAGGTGACAATTAGTTCGACATACCCCCAAGGTTTGGTAGTGGCCCCGTTAAAGCCCTGGAGGTTCGAGCCCACGTACAAGGTCAGGTGGGTTTCGTTCAGATGGAGGGTGGTGAATAGCTAGGTGTACATGATGTCCATCGAGCTTCCTTGATCGACCAGGATGTGCCAAACATCAAAGTTTTCCATGCAAGGCCGTACGAGCAGTGGGATGGTCGAGTTGGGAGCTCTGCCTGGTAGTTCCTCTCGGCAGAATGCGAGGGGTTGAGAGCCTCCCCTGAACTTGTCAAGGGTATCGTCCATGTTGGAGTTGGATTTGATAAGCTGACTGAACCTTCTCTTTATGGACCCCACTGTGTTCTTATTGAATCCTCCACCGGAGATGACCATCGCAACGGGGAAAGACTCCCAGGGACTATGTGAGGAGAAGTATAGGGGGGCATCCTCCATGTCAGAGAAGTAGAAATATTTTGGTCGCATGATGCTCATGGCGACCATTGTGATACCGTTGTCGGGAGACTCCTTCCCCTCTTCGACGCTCTTGGTTTCTAGAGGCTCCTCGCAAACACCTTTTTTCTCCTTCTTATACTGCTTGAGGTGCCCGTCTTGGATGAGTATCTCGATCGCATCCTTGAGATGGATGCAATCATTGGTGTTGTGACCATGGCTTCTGTAATACAGTGGGAGAATTGACTTTTGGTTTTGCATTTTATCGCAAATGTTGCGGATAGCTAGAGTCGCCATCATTTTTTCTTTTATCCAATAAGGAAAGGGTGAAAATAACATGAAAGACCTTTGAGATTTATTGAGTTTGGGGGTTAGGTTATGAAAAGGGAAGGTGTTAGCACCCTTTTCATCTGTAGTTATCTACGGGCTCTTAATTGCTAGCTCACTTTTGAGAATGCTTTGTGAACGCGTTTGAAAATATTTCGAAAATGCCAGTAGTCAAGAAACTTTGTAATGATTCTTGTATTGGTTAAGAATGCGTACAAAGTGTTTATTTGAAAATATTTTGAAAGTGTGGTTGTGAGAAATGTTTTTGTTTTGAAAAATGTGAGCAAGCGATTAAGAACTATCTACCTATTCAAGGTCTTTCGTATTATTTTCCTCCTCCTTTAGATAGTCCTATCCAACAGTTAGTTATTAGGGAGCCCTATTGTTGGATGTGAAGGGATAGTCGCGGGTCATCGTACAGTTATAAAGACAACTCGTAGGGGCGCTTTAGCAATTCGTAAGGGACTAAATTGTTTACCGAAGGCAGCATCGAAGGGTCATCGAGGGACTATGGTATTTTTAAATGAGGGACAGTGTTAA